CTGAATTTTAATGGCAGTACAATGTTGACACATTAAATTTACAGGGACAATTGCGGAAAGGACAATATTTGCCTGCGCCAAGGTCCATTAGTCAGCTATCAAAACGCCTAGAATTACCATTTTTCTTTAAACTGTGCCAAACCGTTTGTAAAAACAAATCAAGTAAGATCTTTCCTTAGCCATGCTTTGATGGTTTTGACGAAATTCTTAAAAATTCTGTCTTTCACTTGACCCCGACGCTTGTCCAGTGAAAGGGCATTAATTTTCTCTTGCGTACTTCGTCCGTGAGCCCTAGATTGTAGATAATGGCATTTTTTTATTCTACGGACGACAATTTAAAAAAATGATTGTTGACAGCAGTTGATTTGATAAGCCAACGGAAGGAATTTTCTGAAAATTTACGACCCGCGAGATGTTCTTTAGTTTATTTCTTGGCCGTGGTACTTCCACTCCAGTACATTCGGAATTACATAAAGGAACAATCGGATCGGATGAAATTATGCCGTGGCAAGCGTCTATGAGAATTAAATGAAGCCTGGCTTTTCAAGGAAGCACTTCGACTATCGGATTTCACGACGTTAACGAACCTTTTATCTAGAAGAAAATTCATTCGACGATGTCCAATTATATAATCGCTGAATGATTCAGAGATTCGAGAATCTCAAAGAAAATTGCCTGGTTTGAGAACATCCTAATACCTCGAGAGCAGGTCCGCCTCGAATTTCTTTACAGCGTCAGGAATGTCAATAATTTATTAATAAATAAGAATTTTAAAAAAACTGAAATTACTTCTTCCTGATGAAGCTCACAGTGCTTCACAAACCTGTAAACTTCATCGAATTCCATTCATCAAGATTCTTCTTTTATATAAACAAGAACCAAATAAAATCAATTATAAATTCTTTAGGCAACTAATTATAATTGTGACAACAACAAATAAAAATACCCATAATCATTCGGAAATCGTGAGATGCGGTCTGGTGTGATGTAGGTTACAGAAAAACCTTTTCTTTAATCGTGCCAACGTTTCGATCTTTGTTGAGATCATCTTCAGGGCCTGGGATTTACAAATATTGTTTAAATTTAACAAATACATGTAGGATGTGGAAAAAAGTGAATTTATATTAATTTCTTGGCAAAATAAAGATGCAAGTAGGAATGTCTTTTCCTTCAGTTCCTTATTCATTCCTTTTAAAAATGTAATACAATGTAATTTTTAAAAATTATATGATGGAGTGAGTGTGGAGTTCAATCCTTTTTTAAAAAGATAGTTCCTACTCACATTAAGATTTTTTTATTCTTTTAATTAGCAACCTATCAATAAATATTTCTGGATACCCGTTATTTCTTGCTATGGTTTTAATAGTTTCTAATTATTTTTTATAGTTAACCGGTGTTAATGGAAGTTTTAACATACGGTCTATGAGCCAAATGAAACCAGCAGCTTTTTGGGATTTTATTTTTTTATTCTTTTAACTAGCAACCTATCAATAAATATTTCTAGATACCCGTTGTTTTTTTGCTATGGTTTTAATAGTTTCTAATTATTTTTTATAGTTAGCCGGTGCTAATGGAAGTTTTACTTTATCTTAATGTGAGTAGGAACCATCTTTTTAAAAAAGGATGTAATTTTTATTATTATTGTTTAACACTAAGAATACAGTGAGGTTAGGCAGTCCAGGATGTTAAGTAAAGACTAAAGTAAAATTAATATAACAGCAAACTTGTGTTTCATTTTATGATTGTTTTTTACACTGTGATTTTTTCGCTGTATAAGGTGCATATGTAAGATGTTAGGGTATATCATTTGACTAAAAGAGTAGTGAAATATTACTCGAAATAAGTAGGAGTATTAATACTATTCATAAATAGTATGTATACTTTTATTTTGTTATGAGGTATTTTATTTAACTTTTGGTCGTGTATCTATCCCAATCTAAGACACATAATATGAACAAGATACTGGTAAAAACGTTTGGTATCTCTTTGATATATAATTTATCTAATTCATTATTTAATATCGTTTTTATGGCATTTATGTTTTAAGAAAGTTAAACAGTTCTTTGTATTTAATTTAGCAAGAACGAATTTTGCATTTTAAACAAGGGTTCGCAACAGCAGAGGTCATATCAACCCTCAGGGTGCCGGTGTTTTTGAAAAAAAGCCCCTTTGTAAATGTGTTGGGTTCGAATGCAGGGCTGCTGGATTTGAACCCGGGACCTTCACCTTACAGTGATGAGCGCCATGTCAACGCATAAACCATTGAGGCCACCGATGCTCTATGATTTGTTTATTATCGAGCATGAAAGTCTTAATTTATAATAAAGTTTTAAAAGTTCTTGTTTACTGACTGATTTAAAATAATTGGAGGTAGTGTTATAATACTTTAGTTATAGTTATAATCCTTTGACTAGCAAATTAATAGAAATGATGAAGGTGGGGTGAGTATGTTGTACATGTGTATATGTTGACTCACTTTGTGTAAATGATTGTTCTACTCACAGATTTTTTGTTTACAATCCTGAAGTCAAGTATTAAACGCTCAGCATCAGGTTGAAGGAGTTACAAACACGTCTCTCGACATGAAATATAAAAAGGAACACTAGAGGATCTAAAAGAATTCCTCCAATTAATTAATTCTTTACACCCTAATATAAATTTTACATTGGAAATCAATAAAGATGGTTGTTTAAACTGCACATTCTTATAACTTCTTATACAATATAATATATTTTGATTTACCTCCTGTGTTAAACATGTACCTAAATAATACTTGACATATAAATTAATCACTAGTTTAAAATTAATTTTTTACATTATTTATTAGTATAATATTTAGTTGTGCTGTAATTTACGTTTTTTGCAATTCAAAATTGAACAGCATTAAAACCAGCTTTGTCAATGAAACATCGCGGTTCACTCTTACAATTCATGTCAAGAGACGAGTTTCAACCTGATGATGTTCATTTAACGCTCAAAATTGAATCATTGTAAGCAACAAATCTGTTAGTAGAAATTTCATTTCTGAAAAGCTAACAGTTCTTAGTTCAGATCCCGGAACAGCACAATTGGTAAAAATATGTAAAAGGTATTGTAAAATGACCCCTTGTTTACCAACAACCAATGGAAAGTTGGATGTTACACCCTCCTGTAGCTCAGGAATTACTTTACTTTAATTATATATTAATTAATCTGATAACTTTCTTCCCAGATTGTTAATTTATAGTAAAACATATATATGCATAACAGCTGAGAATATCATTATATATTCTATGTATTATTAAGTATTGAAATATTTAAGCTTTCTTCCCTAGGCTACATTAAAGTAAAAATAAATGTGGAACCGTGTTACCAAATCGATTAATTCTTCGAATCCTAAGAAGGCATTAGTTTTTACATTTTGTCAGAGTATTTCATTAAAATACTCTTATAAATAAGTTGTCAGGCCTATAATGTCACTTAATAGTAACTCGAGTAGTTAAATGACCATAACCAATAATACTAATAAATAATAATATTAATAAATCAATTTATGTTAATTAAACTTGTAACAGAGTTTTGTTACTCAATAGTGGCAATGTTCTATTTTTCAATAAATATTTTACTAAAGTTTTTTATAACAAAATTTGTACATTTGTTTCTGTATGGTGCATTACATTAATATAAATAATAAATTGCACTAGAAATGTACCTTTTGTAGACCTTCTGTGATAATAAGATTATAGCAATCATAGTTTAACTTTTTTATCTTAGATTAGTTGTTTTCAAGAATTATATTTTTATTACTCAATCTGACTTTCATTAACAAGCCATTTAGATGAATGAAATGATACATGCAATAAATCACTTGACTCATTGCATTCAGTTCAACAGTACTGTTTATCAGTGTGTCAATAATTTTGAGATAATTAAGTTAAATTTGAATGATTGGAAATGTCGTATAATCTTCCTAAAGTGTCAAGGTCTTGTTTAGGATTTAAATTGAAAATAAGCTAATGTTACATTTAGAAGAAATCTAATTTCGTGGTCCGCTTGACCAATTAATATATTACAATTAATTAAGGTTTTTAGTTGAGATAAAAAAGTCAATGGCATGAGCGGGATTCGAACCCACGATCTTCGGCTAGATACGCCGCTGCTCTACCACTTGAGCTATCGTGACCTCGATCCACTCGGACACCAACTTCCTATCTCAACCCCACCTTTTGAGTTTTCCCTCCTTTATCTCAACTAAAAATCTTAATTAATTGTAATATATTAGTTGGTCAAGCAGACCACGAAATTAGTGAATTTAATGAATTAAAATGAGGTATACTTCACTAAATTTTTTCCATTTCATTTGTCACCGAGAATTCAATCCGATTACACGACATTTGAAAAATGGCAAAAAGGAGGGAAAACTCAAAAGGTGGTGTTGAGATGGGAAGTTGGCGTCTGAGTGGATCGAGGTCACGATAGCTCAAGTGGTAGAGCAGCGGCGTATCAAGCTGAAGATCGTGGGTTCGAATCCTGCTCGTGCCATTGACTTTTTTATCTCGACTAAAAATCTTAATTAATTGTAATATATTAATTGGTCAAGCGGACCACGAAATTAGGGAATTATATTTTTATTACTCAATCTGACTTTCATTAACAAGCCATTTAGATGAATGAAATGATACATGCAATAAATCACTTGACTCATCGCATTCAGTTCAACAGTACTGTTTATCAGTGTGTCAATAATTTTGAAATAATTAAGTTAAAATATGAATGATTGGAGATGTCATATAATCTTCCTAAAGTGTCAAGGTCTTGTGTGGGATTTAAATTGAAAATCAGCTAATGTTTCACTTAGAAGAAATAGCTTTTAAAAGATTTGAAATGAACATGAAGTTCAGTTTATCAATTTAAGTTTAGTTTAAGTTGAAATAATTTTATCTCTTCAATATAAATACAATTAATAAGTTTTGCGTTTAAAAATTTGAATATCCATTTTAAATTTTAAATTTATTTTTTAGAATGGAGCAGAGAAAAGTGTGGCTGTCAGACCCTTTGGAAGGGTTTGTCCTGGGCCAAATCGTAGACATAGGAATGGATGAAGTAACAGTACAGCCGCTGGACAAGAAAGGACCCAAGGTGACAACAAGCCTTGATAGACTCTACCTCGTAGAAGAGCACGACAATCGTGATTTCGATGATAACTGTTTGTAATCGTTTCTACTTTTGAATATTATGTTGCATTCTTTTCATTAATTCAATTTTCTTATAGGCTCCTTGATGAATTTAAATGAAGCTTCTCTCTTAAACAATATAAGAAATCGCTATAAGAAAGATAAAATATATGTGGGTTTATATTTGAGTATTGGTGTATTTAGTCTGTTGTCATCTTTTACATTTAGTTCTTGTTTTGTAGACTTATGTCGCGAACATCCTAATAGCTGTAAATCCTTATTTTGAGATCAAGGATTTTTATTCCTCAAAAGTTATTAAACAGTACCAGGGTAAATCACTTGGACAAATGCCACCTCATGTCTTTGCTATTGGTAAATTTATTTATATCCTTATTGTTTTAATTTTTTAAATAGATAATAATAAATTAATAATAATTGCAGCTGATAAATCTTTTCGAGATATGAAAGTTTTAAAGCAGTCGCAATCCATAATTGTTTCTGGTGAAAGTGGCGCTGGAAAAACTGAATCGACCAAATATCTTTTGAGATATCTTTGTGATCTCTGGGGCACAGCTGCAGGACCAATTGAACAAAAAATCCTTGATGGTAGTTAAATTTATTCTATTTTTCTTTCTTCTCCATATAAATAAATATTTATATTTATAATATTTGGGAAACTGTGTCTTCAGCAAACCCAGTCCTTGAAGCATTTGGAAATGCTAAAACTACACGGAACAACAATTCATCTAGATTTGGGAAATTTATGGAAGTCCATTTTGATACAAAATGCACTGTGGTTGGTGGCTATATTTCACATTATTTGCTCGAAAAGTCAAGGATCGTAATGCAAAGCCCAGAAGAGAGAAATTATCACGTGTTCTATCTCTTATGCGCAGGTGCTCCAGAGAGCATTAGGCACAAATTAAAATTGACCAAACCGGACGATTTTCATGTAAGGAAATTTTAATTCATATAATATTATCTATATTTCATTCACATTATTAAATTGCAGTATTTGAAAAATGGGTGTACTCAATATTTTACCAACAACAATACAGAAAGTAAATTGAATAATACTCAAAAGAGTGCGTCTCATGCCAGACAAGGTGGACTTAGAGATCCGATGCTTGACGATGTTGAAGATTTTGCAAATATGGATAAAGTATGTTTAATTGTAACATTAATACAGCTACATAAAAGAAACAAATTACATTACTTTCCAAAATTAATATTTTGTTTTGTCGCAGGCTTTAAACAGACTTGGCCTTGCAGAAGATGAAAGGCTTGAAATTTATGCAATGGTTGCTGCTGTCTTACATCTGGGAAATGTAGCTTTTGAGGAAAACGTTGAAAGTACTAAAGGAGGTTCTCAGGTGACTGCCAACTCTGAGGCAAGTCTCATTATGGCATCGTCACTTTTGTTTGTCGACAAGGAAGAACTGAGACAAGCTCTCGTTAATAAAGTGATGATGACTAACCGAGGTGGACCAAAGGGGACTGTCATAATGTAACGATGCGTTTGAAAAAAAAAAAAATTATGGTTTTAACTTATATTTATTCCAGGGTTCCTTTGAAAGTCTATGAAGCGAATAATGCAAGGGATGCATTAGCAAAAGCATTGTACAGCAAACTGTTTGACTATATTGTATACAGGATTAACAAAAGTATACCTTTTCAAGCATCAAGTTACTATATTGGTGTTCTTGATATTGCTGGCTTTGGTACTTACACTTGTCTACTTTGTATCTTTTTTGGAACTTTTCATAAAATGTTTTATTTTTATTTTTAATTTAGAATACTTTACCGTAAACAGCTTTGAACAATTCTGCATCAACTACTGTAATGAAAAGCTACAGCAGTTCTTTAACGAGCGCATATTGAAAGATGAACAAGAGCTTTATCAAAAAGAAGGACTACAAGTTAAAAAAATCAATTTTATCGACAATCAAGACTGTATAGGTGCATAATTAGCAATTTTTTAAAATATATATATTTTTTTAATATCCGGTTTGGTTTTCTTATTTTGCCTCTTTGTTCAGATTTAATTGAAGGTAAAAACGGGGGTTTATTTAATTTACTTGATGAAGAGTCAAAACTGCCGAAACCCAGTGCGGAGCATTTTACATCTGAGGTTCACAGACGGTGGAATTCCCATTTCAGGCTTGCTCTCCCGAGGACTTCTAAACTAAAAGCACATCGGGAAATCAGGGACTCTGAAGGATTCCTTGTACGGCATTTTGCTGGAGCAGTTTGCTATGACACTGTAATATATAACAGATAATATTTTAAAATAATGCACTATATACATGTCAATTTCAACAAAAAATTTTTAGAGTAAATTTATTGAGAAGAATAATGATGCCCTTCACTCATCATTGGAAGGTCTTGTACAAGAAAGCAAGAATCCATTTTTATCAACAATGTTCACAAATTTTAATAATACAAATAACCAAAAGGGAAAACTGACCTTCATTAGTGTTGGATCAAAATTCCAGACACAGCTTGCTGAACTAATGGATAAGTTGAAGAGTACAGTAAGTATTTAAATAAATTTTTCTTTTTATTATCCTTTTTTCTACATAATGGGCAATCTCTATTGTACTGTAGTTTTTTTAAATGTACACATGGATATTGCTTAACTCTGAGGCATTCAACATAAACTACATATTTTATGTTACACTTTTTAGGGAACCAGCTTTGTCCGCTGTATAAAACCGAATCAAAAAATGATCGACCATCAGTTTGAAGGTGGATCAATTTTATCCCAGCTTCAGTGTTCAGGGATGACCAGCGTTCTGCAACTAATGCAGCAAGGGTTCCCCTCAAGAACCCAGTTCTCTGATCTTTACCAGATGTACTCATCCTTCTTGCCCCCTCAATTGGCAAGACTTGATCCCAGGCTGTTTTGCAAAGTTAGAATAACATTGCCAATTTTTCCTTATATATAATATTTTTGTATTTTTTTATATTATGATTTTAGGCTTTGTTCTATGCGCTTGGCATGAATGACAATGAATTTAAATTTGGTGTTTCCAAAGTCTTCTTCAGGCCTGGGAAGTTTGCGGAATTTGATTCTATAATGAGATCTGATCCTGAAAATGTAGCTGTGATGGTAGGAAAAGTTAAAAAATGGCTGCTTGCCAATAGATGGAAGAAAGCACAATGGTGCAGTTTAGCTGTGATAAAATGTAAAGAAAATACACCTATAATTTTTTTCAAACTTTTTAAATAAATATTTTATCTTTACAGTGGATAAGAAGATCAAATATAGGAACCAGTGTAGAATAATTATGCAAAAAACAGTCAGAATGTATTTAGCAAAGAAGCAACACCGCCCAAGATACAGAGGCATAGCGAAGATCAACAATTTGCAAGTATGTATGCATTAGAAATTTATTGTAAATATATTCATTAACTTTTTTACTTTCTTAGTCCATAATAGGTAGAATGGAAATAGTAATTGGCCAATTAAAAAGAGACAAAGACTCCAGCATCAGCGAAATGAAAAATCTCCAAAATGAAATGAGAGATGTCATTATAAAAATTAAGGTTTTAAATTAAAAACAATTTTAATATATTAATTAATTTAATTTATTTATAACGTTACACTTGAATTAGGCAAATCCAAAAATAAAACCAGAAGAAATAAATGTATTGCATACAACGCTAATGAACAAGGCAAACAAGGAGTTGGCCAATTTACAAAAGAAATTGGAGTCACAAAAAGATGAAGAGGAGAAAGAGAGATTGAGGAGAATTCAAGAAGAAATGATGAAGGAAAAGATGAGGAGAGAGGAAGAGGAAAAGCAAAAGAACTTAGAAGAAGAAGAAAAGAAGCTGTAAGTAAAAAAAAAACTTTATTGTGAATTTAATACTTTATCTAATTGTTAAATTTTAAATTAGTAAACTTGAAATGGAAAAAAGAAGAAAGCAAGAGGAAGATCAACTTAAAAGGCAACAAGAGCTTGAAAATGCTACAAAACTCAATCAGGTGCTTAAAAACCATAATTACCTGAACAAAATTGAAATGTAATACTAATTAAGTTTTTCTATTGTAATTTTAGTACCAACTGGAAGTACAAGTCCAAGAAGAGATAAGAAAAAGGGGCCTGTTGGAACAAGAGCGCAGAGATCATGAATTGGCTCTGCGACTAGCGCAGGAAAGTGATAGTCAAGTTGACGATATAATCTCTCCAATGGATAGGTGAGAAATTTGTGTCAACAATAGCACTTTGTAGAAATAGACTTTTATGTATGACTAGCACCCAATTTTTCCAGTAATGAAATAGTAAAATTAAATTAAAACAATTTTTTTAAAAACCATGAATATAAAATTCTCTAAAAGAATATTAAAAAAAGAAAAAGAAATAAAGAAAAGTTTTTAGACATTTCTTACAAGTTATTAATGAAATATATTTTACATACTAAATGCTTTCTTGTGAAGTTCCATCAAGGTTGAATTGCTAAAGTGTTTCAAAACAACATAAACCCTTCTATAATTATGTATATGTTGTAAACTTTGTGAAATAGATTTGGTAATGCATGGAAAGCTATGCCAATTTTGACACTGCATGTGATCTTTGTTATCACATTGTAATACTTTAAAAAATGTCTGCATTATAACTCCATAATGCTGAATGCTTTGAGTATAATAAAGTCATTTGTGCTTACATAGGTTTTCCGGCGCACGGATGATGAATTCCACCTCTAATAATAAACTAAACAGGTATCTTTCAGAGCACATATTGTAGAATATTCTAAACTGTAATTATTTTTGCATTAAGCATGCTGCCTGTATTCTTGGATGGGCTTGCAATTTAAATATGTACAAAGTACATATTTCATACTGTTTGGTAAATAACTGTTTATAATTGTTTGTATTTACAGGCCTGAACACATCAAAAGTCAAATTAATAACAATAACTCTAAATATGATCTTTCCAAGTGGAAATATTCAGAACTCAGGGACACAATCAATACATCTTGTGATATTGATTTGTTAGAGGTGTGTATTATATATTTCTTAAATTATTTTATTTGTACATTTAACTTTTTTTTGGGCTGATTTTTGGATGCTAAAACGTGTTCCCTTGCCTATAGTCTTGGACACTTCGAAAGTGTTCGCTTTAAATCACTCTTATTCCTTTTATGTTGCACCAATTCTGTTCAAAATTTGATAGTACATTCCTCAAATATACTTTACAACAGAAGTAAATAAATGTAATGAGAGAGAAGAAGCTGTAGCTGTTAAACATGAGCAGAACTTTTTAATTTGTTCATCTATTTTCATCTTTGTCTGTATATTCTCACTGGATTGTCTATCATACGTATTTATGATCGGGATGTTCAAGCTGCTACCTCAACTTTTCACAATAATCACAAATGTGATAAAACAATACAAGTACATATATGCAATAAATGATTAACTTAATAGTTCTGACAGTTAAAATTAAAGTAAGCAAAGTAATTCCTGACACACTGGCTTAAAGTCCAACTACCCGTTGACTGTTTTAATCTATTTTACAAATTCACTAATTTCGTGGTCCGCTTGACCAATTAATACTTTCCAATTAATTAAGGTTTTTAGTTGAGATGAAAAAAAGCTAATGGCACGAGAGGGATTCGAACCCATGACCTTCGGCTAGATACGCCGCTGCTCTACCACCTGAGCTATCGTGGCCTCGATCAACTCGGACATCAACTCCCCATCTCAACCCCACCTTATGAGTTTTCCCTCCTTTTTTTTCATCTCAACTAAAAACCTTAATTAATTGTAAAGTATTAATTGGTCAAGCGGACCACGAAATTAGTGAATTTAATGAATTAAAATGAAGTACACCTCACTAAATCTCTCCGTCGCCATTTCAATTGTCGTCGAGAATCCAAACCCATTACACGACTTTGAAAAATGGCAAAAGGAGGGAAAACTCATAAGGTGGGGTTGAGATGGGGAGTTGATGTCCGAGTGGATCGAGGTCACGATAGCTCAGGTGGTAGAGCAGCGGCGTATCTAGCTGAAGGTCGTGAGTTCGAATCCCTCTCATGCCATTAGCTTTTTTTCATCTCAACTAAAAACCTTAATTAATTGTAAACTATTTTACAATATTTTTTCTGAAATATTCTCATTTAAAATTACATGGGCTATGCCGGTATTCAAACCCAGAAAGTTAGTGTGTTAAATACGAGTTGTACACTCTAACCACTTGCATTCTGCGGTCCCATCACCTTAAACGTTTAATAATTTATTTGCTATATGATAAAACATATTTAACAAACCTTTTTTGTCTAGGCATGTAGGGTAGAATTTCATCGACGGTTGAAAATCTATCATGCCTGGAAAGCTAAAAACAGACATCGCTCCATCATGAATGAAAATGAGAGGGCACCTCGATCAATAATGGATGCAGGTATTTATTGAATAACACAATTTAGATATTTATTTACGGATTTTATCTTCTAATTTGTTCTTTTAGCTAACAACTCTCCGAAAAATTTGGCTAAGAACACCATAGACAACAACAGCCAACGTTTCTTCCGGATCCCATTTATTCGCCCAACAGGCCTCAGTAACGGCCACTCGGATAATCTGATGGACAATTCGAACAAACGAGGATGGTGGTATGCTCATTTCGATGGCCAGTATGTGGCGAGGCAAATGGAACTCCACCCTGACAAACCGGCAATACTGCTTACTGCTGGTAAACATTTATCCTGTGATTTAAGTCAGAACTGTAATAAACAGTTATTTTATTCATTTTTTTTCTTCCATTAGGGATTGATGACATGCAGATGTGTGAATTGAGCCTGGAAGAGACAGGGTTAACTCGTAAAAGAGGTGCAGAGATTCTTGAGCGTGATTTCACTAGAGAATGGGAGAAACACGGAGGGAAACCTTACACCAAAGCTTCGGATAGGATTAAGTAGATATTTAGAAATCTTCTTAACAAATTACAAAGCAACATTTGCACCACCTTTAATGTACAATGTAAATAGTTACTCTAGTCTTGCTATTAAGAAAACAAAAATCCATGAGTGATTTGATTTACTTAAACAAATTCAATCATTTTGTTACTATTTATAAAATTTAAAAACTGAAAACTATTTAAAAAGAAAATTTAAAAACATGTTACATTTAATTTTAGCAAAACTATTTTAAATAAATTAATTTCCTAATGAATATCATAAATTTGTGTGATAATAGGATATATTTTCATATAAAATTACAATTTATATTTATTTTTTGAATGTGTGCAACATGTTAATATTTCAAATTTAATTACATAGAAAATTTTATTTTTTGATAATAATACACATTTTGAATTTGTTTCAATTTTTAATAAATACAGAAACAAAATAATTATTATTACCATATCTAAATCACCGATAGGTGTTATTATTATTGTAAAAAAATCCACTTTAGGTACTTAGGTACATAATTTAATAAAAAATAAAAACTAATGGTGTGTGAAATATATATAAAATGTTTTGCAATTGTAAGCTATTTTTATAAACCCAAGGGTAAATTTTCCTCAAATCAACATTAGGTGTAAAATTAATACAATACAATACTTGTAACTATTATTACAATTTTAATACAATTTTGTATTTCTGTACGAAGATGAAAGATTTAAATAAAATCAAATCTGAATGGTTGTGATCTATGAAATTCAACATTCCAAGTGAAAATCGACAGTAATACAAACACATTTAAATATAATTGTTATATTTTTATAATCTGCTTCAACTAATGTCTGGATTCATAAGAATTCACTTTAGTTTTTTGTTTAAATCACTAAATATTTAATAAAAAAATAAATTAACTGGCATAATTCTGTTTTTAATTCTTTTGTTAATGTAATAATCCTGGCAGGAAAAAAAATGCGCACAAGAACATTTCTTGCTTCTCTGCTCTCTGCTTACTTTGTTATGCAAGCCAACTCTTCCCAATCAGTACCTGTGTAAGCTCCTTGTCTTTTCCCTTATGCTCCCCAATTTCAATTATGGCTATCTGGTCTACGGTGGACTCACCAGTAAGCTTGATAACAGACACAAGTGAATCATGAACAGCTTTGTTTGGTTCATATTTAGCTCTAATTGGAGTTGTTCTGGGGGAGATTGTCAGATTATTTAATAATTTATGGAGAAATATATCATTTTTTTACATCTAGTTTCAAGCGTGTCTATATTTCTATATTTAATGTAATTAGAATTTTGGAATAATTTAAACTTCATGGAGAGTGATGATTCTGACGACGAAAAAAAAAGACTCATTTTGACTCAAAATTAATACAGTAAACAAAATAGAGGGCTAACAAAAGGTAAAAACTGAGTAAAAGGAATATTGAAATGAACCAAGAAAAAATTTGATCAACTTTGAACAAATAATACCACTATAAATATAAACCAAAAAGGTTCAAAACTACAAAAAATATTAAGATTTATAGGTGTGGCGGAATTTTTAATGGGGAGTGAAGCAGTGTATCAAGGACTTAGGAACAGAAATAAATACAAATATCTATAATTGATATACTCCTTTAATAGTAGATACTATAAATTTACATACTTATAAAATATGTATTGACAATTATTTTCAACAACTTAGATCTACAAAACTGCCACAATATGATAGGCAAATAAATATTAAAGACATTTTAAAACAACTTAAAATAGATTTAAAAAACAATAAGTACTTGCTTGGTGCAAAAGGAAGAATTCATTGTTTTAGGAACTCTTGAAAAAGAGATTAAAATCATAAGAAAAGAATACAATAGCATTATCATCTTATAAAATACATAATCTTCAACAGAAACTAGTTTACCCTTGCAAATCTTTACATTAAAATGATAAATTCTGAATTATAAAAAATTATAAAATACAGCCTGGGAATAATTCATGCTTAAATATGATGTTTTAAAAAAAATTAACCAACCAATATATTCGGAATGCTAACTACTGAAATGTCAAAAGATGGAATGTATAACATTTTCCATTCCTTTCTTGTTATTTAGTCAAAATGTCAAATGATAACAGTAGTGACCAAATTAATTATGTGTTAAGAAATACTGGCCTAATAGGAAATTAGTAAATTCTAAATAAATAAATAATTCATGATTAAAAAAAATAAGTCTTATAATACTGTTTTTTCTTCTTCAGTTGGTGATCAGTGCTGATTAAAAATACTACAAATAAAAGCATTGAAAATGCTTGTATTTTTAAGTAATCCAGCCAGTTGGATGTGTTAACTTAAAATAGTTGACTGAAAATTCTTAATAAATGTATAAGTTTCTTTAGTTTATTAGCTTATTATAAACAATTAAAATCTTAAAAATAAAGGAAGGTTTAATATAATTTTTTTAGTAAGTTGTGTGATCACAATACAACATTCTTAAAATATAATAACTATCACCTACAGAAAGTAAAATTAAAAGTGCAAGAAGCTAATAAAATAGAATATTCTTGTCACCCTCATAATTGCTCCAAATTTGGGTGTCACAATGGACGCTCGGTGGGGGAGAAGGGAGAGGGATGGACACATCGACAGGTGTGTTTCAAGCCTTGCTCTAAACAGACCTGCCTTGTGGTTCTTGTTAAAAAAATCGGTTTTTTTATCTTGGTGAGCTTCAACCAAATTTGGCTTATTTAATTTTCTTTAAAGATTTGGTTTTGGGGTTTTTAATACAGATTTCATTTGATAACAATTCAAAGTGGTTTTCTTTACTTTGATTTTGTTTGTGTTGTATAATTTAGTTTCCTTTAATATTATTGTGAATTTTGGATTTTATTATTTTAACAATTGTTTTCCATTCTCTATTAGGTGCCCATCGCATACTTAAATATCAATAATCTGAATATTGTTTTTCTAAAATAATGATTGACTTTTATGGATAAATTCTGACTAAACACCCCACCCTGACTAAATTATGTGCACAATTTCCTAATAAAGTATTAAAATTGAATTGCAGTACAAAAGTTTAAAGTAAATTTGACGGAAGACCCACATTAATAAATATGTATAAGTCTAATGGAATGGATATGAAGTTACATTTTATTATTAAAACGACATTACCTAAATTCCTATAAATCAAGTTACACTGCAGAAATTCACTCCCATATGCGACTTAAATCTAAAATAAAATGCATTGTATGCTGTTCCAAAAACCCAAAGCGGTTCGAACAGCTGGAATCCACTTCAATTAAGTCTTATTAGAAAGATTTACAATACATGAGACTTTGCTGTCATCTGAGGAGAGCCGAGACTAGTTGGGGGTGTTTGGTAACCCGATAGGCTGTCCTCCGACTGCCCGACATTTTTGTTGTTCATCAGACTCACGACGCTTCTCATCGGAGTCGAAAATTTCTCTAGTTGCAAATCACTCACACTATTTGGACCTGAAAAGATTAGCACATATGTCACACCAATTTATTTAGTAGTCAACTTAGTGATTTGTACATCATGATTAGTCCTACAGTGCTTAAAAAAAAATATTCATACATTTAGGGTAGAGGCCAGGGATCCAGCCTATTCTTGCATGAGAGACTAAAGTGTTAGATCCTAAAAAATAGTTCTCAAGAAATCATGGTTCACAGCGGATTAATCATAATCAAATAGTGAGTACCACCCTTTTTTCCTTGTGGTCTGGCAAAGAGTTTGTAAGTGATAAAATTCTTGTTTGGTGAAATTAAAAAAAATTCTGATTGTTTATAGAAAAGGAGAAATAAATCTAATTTATGTTAATTATCATTATTTTACTGTTTAATTAATAAATTTGTTTCAAAAACATTTTAATTATCTTGTATTATAAAAGGCACCTCACAAGTTTGCTCGATTTTTAAATTTTGACTTTCACCCTTACAAAGGCCTTTATTAACGCTAGCCTTGTTAACTCTAGGATGGAAAAAGCCCTAATGAAAGTAACTGTTAAGAAAGGGGTAGTTAATCCCAAAAGTCAATCTGGAATAAATTACAACAGGATGATATGGATGATGCAGCAGAGAAAATTCGTGGGATAATATTTTGGTCATAGAGTGGCAGATGGCTGTCTGAATTTATGGTGATAACACAATTGAACATAGTTTTGATGTTTTTGTAATGGAGAGAAACAAATCAAAGACCAGCCTCGTTGAATAAGGAATAACGAGCTTAAAAGCGACAATTTATTAATGGTATTGGATAATTAACTGTACCAGAGATATCAGACATATTTCAAGTACATCGCAAAACAATAGAACTCCGGGTTACATTGTGAAACTCGTTTCATGGGTTCCCCATGAACAAGTGCAATCAAAACTGCATGGCATGTTATGTTATCATGCCTGAATAGGAATAATCGGAAAGATTTCCTACATGATCACTGGGGATGAGAAGTGGGTCATTTACAAAAATGTTAAATGCAGACAAATCGTTTGCCAAGAAAAAATGAGCTTAAAAAAAAAAAAAAAATGAGGGTTGCACCCTCGTAAGATCCTTTTGTCAGTTTGGTAAGATATTTGAGGAATAATTTATTGGGAACTTGAAGTTTTTCGGAGGATCTACAGAAAAGGTCAACACAGAGAAAAAAAAACTTCCTTTCAGTTTTCGCCGAGCTTTTGACAGTTTTTATACTGTCAACTGTCGAAAGCTCGGCGAAAACTGAAAGGAAGTTTTTTTCTCTGTGTTGACCTCTTCTGTAGATCCTCCGAAAAACTTCATGTTTCCAGCAGGTCGATAACCCAGCTCATCGTTATTGGGAACTGTTACCATACAAATCAAAAGCTTACAGCAGAGGTATACTGTGCCCAGCTGCTAGAGCATCTTGAGACAGCATTCAAGGAAAAATAGTCCAGCCCTGATGAATAAGACATAATGTCGTGTTTCACTGACATTGTCAAACCTCACACAGCCTCCGATTTTTACTTGTTCTGCTCCCTACACAACCACTTGAAAGGTAAGAAAAATTTACCAAAACGCTCTGAAAATTTAACTCAAAGGTTTCTTATTCATCTACGTTATCAGACTTTTACAAATAAGGATATTTCTGCTACCAGAATGTTGGCATTATGTTATAGAAAATGGGGAAAAAATTGTTTTGCATTAAAATAAAATTAATTTATATTTTGAGTTTTTTCTTAAAACCAAACAAACTTACTCAAGTACCCACAAATGGAAAATGCAGTCTCTAAAAAAAAATTGGGTATGCTCAAGTTTAATAAACTGTTAAAACTGTTTATGGGATGAATCCCTCTTCTCTCAACAAAATGGAAGTTAAGCTCTGGGTGGAAAAAGAAGACCCCGTGGTCCATTTTTGACTGACTTCATCAGACGTACTGACCTGGGGATAAATTTATCCCACACAGAAGTCGTACAACTCCTCTACCTCTACCCCATATTACATTTTGATTTGTAAATTTTCCAATTACAATCACATTATTATAATTACAATTTTAATTATTTTGATTAAAAAACCCAGCATCACTTGCTTTTTTCTTCTTCTTACAATAGACATATATTATTTGTATTTTGATCTTTGCTGATCATCTTGGTCTGTCAGACGTGTTCCGGTATTTTGCTGTTTTTTGTGTCTGTGCCTGTTATTTGTTGGTGTCTTTGGTGGATTTAAACAATCTATGTGAACTGTAGTTAATGTGTGTATGCTTATGAGTTTTATAGTGTTTAATGTGTTGTGCTATTTCCCAGTTTTCAAAGATGTTTCTTTTTTGTATGCCGTGTAGTAGTTTCATGCTTTTTTTTGTTTTTTATGTCTAGTTTTTCTATGTCTCATTTTTTGTCTTGTCTGCTTGATATGTATTTGTTTTCTAATTTATAATTGCAGTTGGGAACCCTGGCTCCTCATTAATACATGTGATGTTAATGAAACAATCAATAATAAATAAAAATCGATTGTTAATCAAAGTAAGAAGATACTTTAAAATGTCAAGCAATAAATATCTTACCAATACTGTTTAATCGTTTTTTTCCCGGTGGTGTGTTTACAACTGTGATGGTGGCTGGTGGACCAGGCAAAGTGGGTGAAGTTTCATTGAATCTGGGAGGCTCATTGCTGATTGGAGGCCACAAATAATCTTCTTTTAAACTTTGATTTATTAATTCATACGGCATAAACCTTTTCTTTTCAATCCTTAAAACCCAAAAGATTATAATTTAAAACGGCACTATTTACAATACGTCACTAGCTAACTCACTTGTTCCTTAAAAGGTCGCTTATTCTTTCAAAAACAAACGCCAGAACGAGATTAACGAAGGCGAGCAGTAGCATCATTAGTTTGAAATTGTCAGAAGGAGGAAGTACGAGCTCGAATAATTCTTTAAGCCAATCGAAAGGATTGGTGACAAGATATATTGAGAATGCTGTAATTATTATTGTAGCTCCCATGAGGACTGGAGACAAGAATAACGATTTACGATACGGTGCACCCTTGCTGAACACAAGTGCCAATATAATGTATTGGAAGCTCGATACAGTAAAGAGTGAATAATTAGCATATCCTGCACTAAGACCAGTAGGCTCCAGAGGTTCAACTGTTACTTCCAGAAATGATTCATCAGTCGTGTTAAAATCTTGCCCACTGCTGTTATTAAATAGATTGTTATGGTTGATCGGAGGGTTGTACCTAAAACAAATAAAATTGATTAACAATGTTTATATTTATAATATATATCAAACACACTTACCAGTCCATACTAGTTGTCCAGAAAAAGCTAATGAACTGAATACTAATCGCAATTATCATCTGCCCGAGTAATGAGAATATTGGAGATATAGAAATAAGTGAAGACTGAGGCGGTGTTGGATAAAGTGGACCCTGATACGCTTTGACTTTTCCAAGAACAAATGCAAAAGTTGTAATCACAAATAGATCAATGTACAAATATTCCACATCGGTCAAGTTAGAATCGATCGAGTATAGGATAATCACTGAGCCGAATTGCATCAAACTGTATGCAGCCATGTATTTAAAAATTGCAAACGAAGTAACGAGAGCAGCTCTTCCTTCCTTAATGACTTCAACAATACAACTGATATTCGGTGTTTTCGATGTGAATGGAGAAGCAACGGACGATTCGGCTTCTGACAGTGATATGCCAGCATGAGCAGCTTTGAGTGCTCCACAATCGTTTGCTCCATCACCGACCATTGCTGTTTAAAAAAAAGGAAAATTTAAATCTAAAGCAAAATGCAAGTTGAAAATAAAACTTACCGACAAAATATTCAAGCTGTTGAAGTTCTTGGACAAGAAGTTGTTTTTGATCTGGTGACATTCTTGCAAACACAGATCCCCTTGTAATAATTTTACCAACAAGTTCTGGATAATGAGACCTTATAATACTCCATGTAGTGCCAGTGAGGGCAAAAGAGTAGTCTGTACCCATCTGATCTTCAATGCTGATAATATAAACCATTAGTGTAAAATAAAAATTACAAATAAACTGAGAAAATAAAACTTTACTTGATATCGAAAGGTAATTCAGTGACTACGCTGTTTCTTGCTGTACCGTTTGGAATATGGTTGAAATTATTGGAGCCAATGGTCTGCAAACTTGTCAGGCTTTCTGTTGCTGTCATTTGACTCATTTCACTTAATACATGCTACAAATTAAATTAAATTAGCAAAACAACAGGGTTTATTTTTACTACATTTATAAAATTACTAACTGTTGTATCAGGTGTTGTAGCACCAGTCGATTGAGTAAAGTACAAAATAGGCTTGTGATTATGATGGGTTGTGTGGATCATAATAACCGTCTGACCTGGGGGTACCATTTCACAGTCTCTAGCGACACTTAGCGCTGTCAGCATATTATCTCCTAAAAAAATTCAATATGAATGTAAAATATTGTATTATGAATGAAGTCTAGGAATCATTTTGAAACTTCTCACGAAGAGTGATAAGGGAACCAATTTGTAGCATAATAAATTTGAATGTCACAGTGACCAAAAATAAATAAATAAGTAAAAACACAAAAAATCTGTGGTATGAGGGTAAACTGCATCCACAAACATAACACATACACTGACACTCATTGTACACACCTAGGGTTATCACCACTAGGATAACTTTTCCCGTGGCATGCATGGGGGGGGTGGTGGACTCGGACCAGAGCGCTGGTGGTCTGCCAGGCGGGGAGACCTTTATATGCTGTTTCATGGCTGTGGGGGGAAGTCTGAGGGGTGTGGTTGGCAGCGCACACAAGCACATCCCTCTAAAAAACCCCTGGTATGTAGAGGATATCAACTGTCCACTTAGAGGGGAGGCCTGGCGAAGGATCAGGGCTCTCTCTGACCCAAAGAGAATTCCGTTGATGTAGTACGGAATGTGGGAACATGATCAAGGCATTGGATGTCACTGGGGAATTGGCACGGCACTTTGCAGCTGTGCCAAGTTCTGCGGCCTTCTATGATAGCTTCCGTAGAAGGAAAACCGAGACAGACTCCAGATTGACTTCGACGGCTGTATTGAGGCCTGCTCGGAATTCAACTGGAGGCACTAGTCATTCCTGCTCTTAAGTTGGGCAGGGACTCGAATCTGGCCACGAGTTACAGGCCAATCTCCCGGACAACCTGAGTAAACACCTGGAGTCCATGACATATGGTCATTTGACCTGGTGTCTTGAGACAAAGGGGTTTTTACAGCCAGTATCAGGTGAGATTCTACAGGCATTGTTCTGCAGTTGATCATCACTGCCTTCCCGAGAGTGATATTCAGAATACATTTCTAAATAAAGAGTTCTGGCTGTGTTCTTTGACCTCGAGAAAGCATTTGATATGTCGGATTTAGAGGCAAATTACCACAGTGTTCCCTCCCCCCTGGAGAATGGGATCCATACTCTGCAGGGACTTTGCTCAAGAGAATGGAGACCCTCAAGGTTCAGCGATAAGCATTACACTTTTCTTAATTACACGACAATTACTGTACGTCGACAACCATTGCTTTTTCCACGCAATATTGCTTAAGTTTTTCCATACAATTTTGTATAACCTTGGTGAGTCCATGTCTGTTACTGGGAGTATCCACTTCATGGAAGATTTTAATGTGATGAACTATTGAGAAGAGCTGGGAACCAGAATTTGTCCTCTCAGGGGAGAATTTTGTTAAGGAAAGTTAAACTGTATATATTTATGACTACAAATATTTCAATATGCATAATTATAAAAACACTCTTGGCCCTTACCTGTGACCATAATTGTTCGCACTTGGGCATCTCTGAGCATGTGCAACACTGGAGAAGTTTGGGGTTTTAGTCTGTTTTCCATGACTACCAAACCAAGCAATATCAGGTTGCTTTCAGCTTCTTCTCTTGACAATCGTTGCATTTTTGCATAGCTGAGCCTAGGCGGCAAATCTTTGTATGCTAAAGCCAGCACTCGGTAGCCTTCCTTAGTGTACATTTCAAGCTGTCTTTGGAAATCTGATGGCACTGGTACCAAATCAATAAATAACATTTCAAATAAATGATATATCATTGTTATGTAAATGAAGAAGAATTTACCTGAGCTCTGATCACAAAGCGATAAAATCATTTCTGGTGAGCCTTTACAATAAAGGGTGAAAGTATTAGCACCGAGTGTCCTAGTAATAACACTCATTCTTTGAAGGCTCGAAGAGAAAGTGAATTGTCTCACAATACCAATTTCAAAGTCGATCTGAAAATCATTAATAAAATGATAAATACTTTGTAATCTTAGCGTATGAGGATTATAGGTCCTCTTATGTATCATATTAACTCAAATGACATTACAGACCACTTATTAAGTGAAACAGCTAATCCAAATTAGGACCGATTGGGATTATATTGACAATTTTTCTGAAATGGTCTAATGTGAAGTATAGCCTTACTGATTATTTGGAGATCGTGAGATGCGGTCTGGTGTGACGAGGGTTTAGAAAAACATTTTCTTTATCGTGCAAACGTTTCAATCTTTATTGAGATCATCTTCAGGGCTCAAAGCGTTTGTTTTCTGTGACTTCACGATCTCCAAGTAATAATTAAGTATGTCACTAAATACCACATATAGTCTTACTCTAAAACTTCTAAGATGTTCCGAAGGGGGTAGACCCCACAAGTCATGGATTTGATTTCCACCCCTACCCCAAAAATTTGATAACTTTTGGAGTAAACTTTGTCGGGGTCATCCACTTTAATGAAACTTTTGTTAGTACTTGATTATTTAGAGATCGTCAAATGCAATCTGGTGGGACGTAGGTTTAGAAAAAAACATTTTCTTTATCGTGCCAATGTTTCAATCTTTATTGAGATCATCTTCAGGGCTCCCTCCAAGTGTTTATTTTCTGTGTACATGTGTCATTATTGTGTGTTGTGTTGAGAGTGTTAAGGGCCACGACACTTGATCCCCTTGTTTAAGATTGAAATGTTATCACGATAAAAAAAATGTTTTTCTAAACCTATGTCACACCAGACTGCATTTCACGATCTCCAAATAATCATTAACTAACAGTCACTAAACACCACACTTTTTTTAGTACATAATACTAGAATGAAAATATTTTTAAAAAAATAGAGTTTATTTCCCAGACATAAGGCAATGCTTTATGGTGTCAGGATTGTTAAAGTAGATCACATACCATTTCAATGATTCATTTGATGATAAAATAGTGAATAAAGCTTTCCAGACGGGTTTTACACACTTAAGGTGGCCATTCACGATCGCTCCAAATGGAACCGCGCCAAGCCGTACAGCTCCATTTGAAATGCCTGAAATTTGAGGGGGCATTCACGACCGCTCCACAGCCAGTCGCTCCGAACGTCATCTAGTGAATTACCTTCTCAAAATGGATGACAATCTATTGTGCTACGCTGCTGTTTGTTTATATAGCAAAGCAAAAAGCCGAAGAGGAAATGGTGTAAGAAGTGGCTCCTGAACAGAAGCCGTAATACCCACATCAATTTGATGAAAGATCTTTCCCTTGAATCCGCTGATTGGAGGAACTATTTAAGAATGGATGTAATGTCTTATTTATTCATTACATTTAGTGTAATATTGACCAAATTACTTCTTTCAATGAATTAATCTTTTTTATAAGGTTTTGGTTGAAATGAAGAAGCTAGTGCCACGAGCGGGACTTGGAACCTGACACCAAAAAATGCAAAAAGGGAGAAAATTCGAAAGGTTGTAGGTTGAGAAGGGGAGTTGGTGTCTGAGTGGATTGAACTATCGAAGCCACGATAGCTCAAGTGGTTAGAGCAGTGGCGTATTTAGCCGAATGTCGTGGATTAAAAAAAAAAAAATTTAACGTCTTATTTATTTACTCCAGCTTGTTACCCCTTGATTAGAAAACAAAAGACAGTCAAGAGAGAAATCATCACTACATGAAAGGTAGGCAACCACATTACAATTTCTCGCTACAGGGATGAACTACAAAGAACTTAAGTTCTCTACTACGATTTCTGATCATTGTTAAGGGTTATCAATATCACATCTCTCGTTGCATTTGTATCCTTTTTTTGAAAATGTCGACCAACTGGTTGAGGATCGAATTTCTTTTATTTCTATCGTGGTAATCATTGTCCACCACTTTCCATAAACATGATAAATTTTCATACAATTCAATCACCTCAACAATAAAATCTCGATTGGGTGTCATTGCCAATAAAGAATAAACGTTTTTGACTTTTTGAGAATGTAGGACGGAGATGTTTGCTCTGTGTCAGAAAGACGGGGACTGCGCCAAAAAAAGGCGGGTTTTCCCATTCACGACCAAGCCAGCGCTCCAATATTCCACCTGTTCACACCAGGTTTTCCCATTCACGAACGCGATATTTGGAGTGGCACGATGAAGTTTGGACCAGTCGAATATGGCACAGCCAGGCATGCCAGTTCAGTTTTGCCATTGACGTGGTTTTTGGAATGGCGTCACTCCGTTTGGACTACTAGGAGCATTCGTGAATGGCCACCTTTAAACTTGCTGTTATTTATTAACTTGCTATGTTATTTCTTAAGGCAGGTTTGGGGGGGGGGCGCGGTAGCCGAGTGGTTAAGGCGTCAGACTCTCGGCTAGTAGATCTGTAGAGGTTCGATCCCCACTGTCGCCTCTGGACTTTTTCTGACGCCTAAGGTGGCCGCAATTGAAAGAAATTGACACAGCACTCATCAATAGAAGGGGCGGGATCGGATCTCAGCGACCCTGAATTTGGTCCCAACCCCCTCCAAAAATGAGTTTCTTCGATGGAAGAACACCAGTACAACGGGGGCTCAAGTTCACATTTGTGTTGTGAGCCCTACCCCAAAATATGGAGCCAGGGATAAAGTACAATAAGCTGTACAGCTGCAGTGCTCAGGAGGGAACTCCTCCAGTCCCTGGTATCAAAAAAAAGAAGAAAAAATTGTCATTTGTTTATTGTTTGTTAGTGTTCACATAAGATAGGCCAAAAAAAAAACATTCATTTCATCAGCCATTTACATGTTAGCACTTTCCCTTCCTTCTTCACATCAGGTTTTATTAACCTAAACTTAGGGGATCTTTACTGCAAAGCCTATATTTATTTGTTTCTTTATGATTTATTATTTGTTTGAATGTATATACTCAAACATGGAGGGAGCCCTTTTTTTGTCAACTGTAATTGCAATTACAGAATCCCAGAGGAAAAGAATCATCGACATCTCCACAGCCAAATCAAGATTATAGAATAGCTATTAAAAAGAGGACAATTCTCATATCAGAATAATTTGTGAGATTTGTCATGAACCTCATGCCCATAGGATTCCTTCTAAAAATAAAACAAAAGATGACTTGTAATTATGATTTTATTACACTATACAAATAAAAAAAGCTTGAAAAATGTATCAATGAACCTATAAAAGCATATGAGACCATTTTTCAGAAATTGTACCCCCTCGATTCAAACTTTCGATCCAATTATGGATTTCATTCCAATTTGATAAAACCTACAATTTCATTTGTCAGTTTCAGACGATGAGACTCATGTAAACTGGGCTTCAAGCTTTTTAAAACCATTTCAATGCAACCTAATTGTAAGAACCTTCAAATCACATTCAAGTTTCAGTTCAAGTTGATCAGTCGCTCTTAAAACATTACCAAGAGATCTTATTTGGCTTTTAAGGGTTGCCTTTGTTCTGGGTTTTGGAGCACTAGGCAGGGTAGAACATCCCATTCACACGACTTATGTGATACATCAGTGGTTTTAATAATTTGTTTTAAAATGTAAGGCCTTAATTTCCTAACGACTAATTTTTTAACTCCTTGTATCGACACTAAACTTCTATCAATACTTAAATCTATATATATATAAAAGTGTATGTTCGTATGTGTGATAATCATAAAAACGAACTAACTCAAACTACTGAACCGATTTTGATGAAACTTTCACACTTTGTTTTTATTAGTGTCGGGCAGGTTTAGAGACTATAAAATGGGCATATAACAAATAAAGTGTGTCGGGATTTATAAAAAAAGAGAAATAAGATGTTTTATTATCTTCTTGGGCAATGCTGGGTTATAAAGCTAGTGTTAAACAAAATAATAAAACATGTCTTAAAATCTGACCTCATCTGGGGATTCCGGCACCACATTTTCAGGGCCTGGTTTTACCACAGTTGGAGATATAAGATCAAATTTAGCAGCATCGTTAATTTCTGGTTCTTCTAATGTCCAACCAGTACTTTCAAATACCTAAAATATTGAAAGGAATTATTTAATCAAATCTTAAAATCCTAACTCTAAAGAAAAATCTACCTTAATATCTAATGGATCTCCAGCTAGATTGCCTTCGATAATTGTTATGGAATGGCATGTCACCATTGACCTCAACAAATGATCTGGCGGGAGGCTTTTGATATTTTTAACAGGAAGGTGAAACTTTGAGTTGTGCACTGGTGCTACACACCACATGTCCAACCCATCCTCGGTCAAAGTTCCTGTCTGTAAAATAGCAAACCATTTAATCAGATTACTAAAAAAAAAAAAAAAGATTAATAATAATTGTTATAAATTTTTCCTACCTTGTCAAAACAGACACAATTTATTGAACCAGCAACATTTATTGTTCTAGGACTAATACAAAAAATATTCGCTTTTTCCAACCTTGCTTGGGCATACATCCTTCCGACAGTCATAGCAGCTGGTAAAGCTGGAGGAACAACGATCGTTATCAAATCTAGTGCTTTCAGTATTATTTCACTCCAAGGATTTCGACGAATGGCCTGCAAGAGAAAAAAAATACCAATAATTAATTTTGAACTAACTCAAGTTTATATGTAATTATTACCATTGTGACAACTGTATATAAAACACCGATAGCTGCAACGCAAGCCAAAAGTTGAACAAACTTGTATGAATCTCTCTCAAACTTAAAATCGACTGGCGGAGGGTGCAAAATGGATCTGACTAATTTCCCCTTCGCTGTTGAAAATCCCGTTCTAACTACTACTGCCAAAACCTTTTCATTGCCGTAATATCTTGTCTGAATCACTTGTGTTCCACAGAACAGAGTGTGACGTGCATGCTCTTTCTCATCATATTCCGTGTTCGAGTTGTTCGGCAGTGGAGTTTTTGTAACAGGTACACTTTCCCCTGTTAAAATAAAAATGTTTAAGTAAGGTTTAAGTTGAACACAAATTATATGCCTGACCTGTCAGCATGCTTTCATTTACGATGCAGTTTCCAGTGAGGAGAACCGCATCGCAATGCATGATGCAGCCGTGAGGTGGGAGTACTATGACATCCCCTGGCACAAGCTGCTCTGTAGATATGACGACTGACTCGGTTTCCATCCCTTCACGTAAAACATTAACGACATCCCTTGAATGGACCCTGCTAGAGAGGTTCTTTTGGTTCTGAAAAACAGTTAATGTACATTAGAGGAAAGTCTAAAAATTTATTAAATTGGATTACTGTTACCTCGTAAATCCAAGATAATCGAGGCTAGATGTTGTGCCTTTATTTGAAATTTCCTAATATTTCTATAAAACGTAACATAACCTCCCTCCCTTGGATTGGACTATCATTACATAAATTGTACGATTGAAAAAAATTAACTTAAAAACCTTTTTCACTTTTTACATATTTACTTTATTTTTGAAAAAAAAAAAATTAACTGATTCTCAAAACAAAAACAATTATTCTTTAGTTTGTCAGCTTTGAAATTTGAACAAAATGGTAAAATTGTCTGGTCATAAGGGAAGTCTTATTATTTGACATGTCCATTGGGGAGTTTGGTTAAGCAATGCCAAAAGAATATTGGTTATATACTTTTTTATCAAAAAAATTCTATTAATCTACTGTTAATTTTTTGAATTTACAGTGGATTTTTTCCAAATTCATTAATGAAATTATTGTTATTAGTAAAGAAAATATTTGTTTATGTGTAAAATTCGTTTCCAATATATTTGTTAACAATAAACCTTCAGAAATATAAATAATTGGAAAAAAATTTACTTGGGTAACTTTGGATCCTGTGCTACCTCTCAAAGGTTCAATTGGAACTTTTTGAAATAAAATCATTCAATTTGGAATATGTACAAAAGACTATTTTTAATCCACTTATCCTTCTATTAAATCGCTAAATATTTCCCAGAAAATTTAATCAACATTACAATAGGTTAAATTTAGAAGTTTTTTTTTATTACTACTACTTACTACTTACATGATATAAAGTATGATATGTACTATTATTTTAAATGATTTATTTTATGTTGGGTTTGAGTTTTGTTATCACGATTTACATCATGCAAGATGGTAAGTTTTTTTTAAAGGTGATGATCGCATTTGTTGACTCATCAAGTTATTATCAGTCCTCTATGTAGACAGCTACCGGGATTCGACATTAGTCACCAATGAAAATATAAATGATGTACAGATCAAAATCTAACCGTTCTAAGTTTTTTTTTATTTTTTCTCTCAAAGAAACTGAAATGTTTTGTCATACGAAATGAAATAATTAATTAAAGACCTAAGTATTTTCGTTGTTATTAGTAAACCAAATGTGTTCTAAGAAGACATATGTACATATGTATAAATTCAAAAATTAATTGTCTGTAAGCTTGTAAAATATTTTATGATTTTCTTTTCCACAAATTGATTTAATTTATAAAGGTTTATTTGATTAATTTTATATTATTATTAGGTAGAGATTGAAAATAAATTTTAATTATATTTACCTTTCGTGTTTGCTTAACAGCGAATCCCACACTTATGCATGACAATATGAAAATTGCAGATGCATAAAAGATGTAGTCATCAACAGCCCAAAGCGTGAAGGAAAATAATTGAAAAATGTAGAACGGGTTTAGTACTTCCAGGAAGAACAAGTTAGTGACACTTGTCATTGGCACAATAATTTCATTGGCTCCAAAAACAACCCTCCTGAAACAGGACGATGAAGGAAAAATTAGATTGTTTTAATTTCAAGTTCTTAGCATAGGTACTGATATGAAAACTGATCGTATGATCATATGCCTGCCTGCCTGCATGAACTGTCATATCTGAGTTGAAGAATAAGATTACGATTCCATTTTATAAGCCATTTTGACTTTCATTTTAATTTTTGAACCAAAGCTCCTGGCTGATATATTTTTAATGCACGTCAAGTGTTCACTAGCACGCAAGAGAAGACCACAGGTCCTTCAGGTAACCTCACTGGGAGATTTGGGGTATTGGGCAGAAAGGCTTGAGAGCTGAAATTATTAAAAATCTAACCGAATGTTACATAACATGACCAAAACCATTTCTCCTCTCCAGTTTGATTTGTTGGAAAAGAAAAAAAATTTTAGCAACTTACTGTACAAAAACTGAAACATTGTCCATGCAATCAATCCCAGGCAGATTTTTCTTTGTATGCCTCAAACGCACAAAAGTCTGTTTACTCAGAACTCACCTTTTTACTACGATAAAAATGTATCAGTTTATCAGGTTTTACAGTACTAGTTTGAATTGGCTCATCTGCCCCGAGCAAACAACTTTGATGCACTGTACATTGAAATGATCTGCTTGGGACGTATTTATCAAATTTGCAGGGATGAAAGTGAAAAATTAATTAACTTATGCTATGTAAATAGAACAATAAATCACTTTTTAACTTTTAATTTTATAAAATTAGGTAAACTTCCAATTATCCACTTTGCACACCTTCAAATTTATTTTTGCTTTCATAGAGACATTTCCTTAATTTGAGAAGTGTAATTGAAATTTAAAATAATCATTTAATAAATAGGTCATGAAATGTGTTAAGTCTAAAACCTAGTGTAGAGGATTTTAAATTTACTCTTTTAAAATTGTACTAAAAAAATATGATAACTTAAATAATATATTTTAAACAACAACATTAGTAAATTAAGGTTAATTGTGTCAGTTTAGCTTACATAAAAAAGAATATTGATCAAATGCAAGGCTTGAAAAAATTTGACAGTTATTGTTCATAATCACATCCTTTTTTCAAGAGAAAAAAAAAAATTAAAAAAACCATCATACCGAATGTACTGTTCAGTGGCGGACAGTCCTTTTTGCTGGTGTAGAACCGATAAACTGACATCCCAATCTAATCCTCGGACTTGGTAAAAAATGCCATCATCAGGGTCCCAAAAATATATCATTTTCTTACACGTGAAAAGTTTCAAGGTATCAATTTCTGAAAAATTGAATTTATAGGGTTTTTAGCCATGAATTGAATGTTCCTTTTCTAAATATTCAACAGACTAGTGAAAAAAGCTTACCTTTAAACCTCCCTCTTGAAATATGTACTGTTAACTTATCAAATTTGTCTATCTCTGTTAAAAGATTGTGGTCCCAAATATTGTTGTCATCTTGGTTGATCTCATTTCTAAAAAAAATATATATATATAAATAAAGAAAGAAAATAAAATATATAGAAAAAATAATGTTAATAAATTTGATACTGGAATAATTTTTTCATGCGTAATTACCTCACAGATTCCAAATTTATTGATGCAACGTCCTCCACATAATAACATTTATGCTGATCTTGGTAGCGTTCCTAAAATGGTAGAACCATAAGTAAATAAAAAACAAAACAAATTTGTTTCCTTTTTAACTCACAATGACTAGAACTTTTTCAGCTTTGTCCAATGAGCATGGTCTATGGGTGGCGTAAAGCATCCACTGAGGCCACCAGTGAAAAACAAGCCTTAGCAAACCGAGAGTTAAAAATATAAATACCCAGATCAAAACTGTCCTTGCTTTATCTTTCACGAAACCTTGGATTTCCTGGAAATAAATATATAATACATTTTTGTATACTGACTAGAATAATATACATATGTAATAAAATGCAAACCATCTTATCTTCCGTTCCATAATTGATATAATCAGTGCACACATCTTGTCGAATATTGCCATTTTGTTGAGATTTTCCATCTGTCAATTACAAAAAATAAAAAATAAATTTACATTTACTTAACCAAACTAGATCGAACAAAGTATAAAATTTATTTAAGTAGTTTTTCTATTGAGCATGCTATAAATAAAAGTTTACCTACTGCCATTCTTCATGAAATATTAATGGTTATCATTGCTTTAAAATGTGAAAAGCATCTAGAAGTGAGGGGGGTTCTTAGATTACTGGGGAGGAGAAATTACATCATTTTTCTTCTTGAAATCGCATAAACAAATTTAAACAGGAATTTATCTAATATAAATGATCTATGATCCAAGTATACTTGTCTAGAAGAGATCAATTCAAAAATAACCATTGACTCCTAGGCTAAAGCAAAATTTTACCCTAGGGGAGAGGGTATCATTAATATCGTCCTTCATACTGATTATTACTAAAGTAAAAGTGCTGCAAACAAGGAAGGGCTCTATTATCTGTAAATAGTCTCACTTGAAATTAAGGCTGATTGAAGTTATATATTTATTTATAAGCGGAAAAAAGGTGAATAGCTTTATCAATATTCAAAATTTTTTAGCAAATGAGAAAACAAATCTAATTAATTTTTTATTAATTACATTTCTTTAAAATGTTTACAATCTTAAATACACACACAATTTATATTTTTTCACCTTTCTTTCATTGAAGAAGGGGCTGTTTAATTGCAAGGCAAAAGTGCTGGATAATCGAATATATGCATTGTTAGCAAGATGCAGATATGCGCACAGAGTAAAAATTTTATGCAGTCATCAAAAAACAATATGGTTTAGCTAGTACAAAAATCACTTTAAATAAATAAGCAGAAAAAAATTGCTTTCATATATTTTGAGTTTACCTACATTCTCCAATGTGCACAACACTTCATACATTCTTAAAGTTATCTAAAATCTCATTATTAAGCGAAATAGAAAAATAAGTAATACTAAGTGTTTTTTTTTTTTTTTTACCTCGTAGTGGCTCCCTGTCAGCATTGGCATTCTGATCGTGAATGCTGTCAAAAAATGATTTTTCACGAGAGCTTGTTTGAATTGTAAATTTCTTAACACTAGGAGAAGCAATCATCTTCAAATAGTCTCTTATACACTTGCAAAGAACTTTTACCAAGGAAACTATAGCCTGCCACAAGAACACCAGTCACAGTGCGTCACCGGGAAAAAAAAAATTAAAATTCCGGGAAATATCTTTCCTGGCCCATTATTTTATAAAAGAACTAAAACGATATAAGTGCATAACAGTCTTTGTCCTTGTGCAGATGTACTTTTGCTAAAAACGCTCTCATCTATCCGGCTTGGCTGGTATAAGCATTTGTCAGTCCCCAGGATCAGGTTTTTTCCACCCTACTTTAGGTCTTTTCAGGTCGTCTTCACTTCTTAAAAATTGTCTGGGATTGTTATATGGTGACGCAAATGAATACATATTTGGCGACAGGTTTATAACAACTCAACCTCAAAAATTTTAGTTACTTTCAGTCCACAGGTTCATAAAAATCACCTTATTGCCGATTGTCTTAAATATTTCTTGATGTAACCACAATAACTTAAAACACAAAAATTATAAACTAAAAATAAAACACTTTTTTTTATCACTGATTCTAATTAGAGTTTTATCATAAGTTTATTGCACAAAGAATGTCTCTCACTAAATAAACAATAAACTGCAGTACAAATTATTGGTAACTTCATACTCTTGCGGTCCCAGGTGACTCTTGAATTGTAAACGCTAGAAAGAAGGAAAGCACAATCAGGAAAATAATTAGGTTTTGCTTACAGCACGTGTACATCGCTCTGCTTTGGTCTACACATTTAAAATTTTAAATAACTCAACAATTACTAGTAATTAGAAAAAACTAATTGTACCAAATTTTAGTTTAACAAGGTAATTAAGATGTCATTAAAATCAATTGATTATGTAAAATTGCATAAACAAATTAAAAATAATTATTATAATTGGCCAAATAAAGAGTGTGATAATCGAGAAGAAAATTAATGTCGTCTATCTGAATTTAGTGTACAATTTTTCACTGAAGCATCGATACTGACACAACAAAATGTCAGTTTATTTTGTTTACAAACATAAGAGATGTTCACATTTTACAAAAATCAAAGGTAAAATAATGCAAGGGCACAACACTCAACTATCCGTTGGTAGCAACGGAATCCAGAACCACTGATGTAACAAATATGAATTGAATACCCCAACTACTCAGCTACTAAGCTCCCCAAATAATTAAGATATCTTTAACATTTTAATTTATTAAGGATTCTTTTTAAAAAGTCAATGTTTTATATTTTAGTATATAAATACCTATGGTAACCTATACTATGGTAAGCATAGTTACCATCTATGACCCACTTATACTAGTTGGTTTCAAAAGGTCATTTAAAAGAGGGTTAAATAGGAATTGTCCCGAGAAAAACGTAATACATTGAAAATCCTTAACTAAGCCCCGGAACAAGTTAGGTCTTACCATGCTTCTATTCCATATGCCCAGAGGGTCTTTCCTAGGTCATACTTTTTGGTAAGGTCTAAGAAGGTGCGTCCCTAAGGAGTTTTGATTTTATTTATTCTGACTTTCTATACAATTTTGGCTAAACTACATAAAATATGTAAGGCATTTTCTTCCCTTCTCTACAGGGTCTGATGATAGGCTTTCATGTAGGTCTTAGAGCAATTGCTTAGTTGCTCTACATTTAATTTTTTGAAGAGAACTCACTAATGAACTCATAAACTCGACCACAAAAGAGGATAAAATGAAAGAAAAACAAGAATGAACAATAGAAAAATTTAGAGGAATTTTTCGATTAGCTCAAAAGTTGTAAGATTAAATTGTAGAATATTATTCAATTATGGAAAGAAGCATCAACAGCATTGCTAGTTAACTCAACCAATCGGCCTTCTTCAACAAAATTTTCAGCAGTGGAAAAACCAGTCAAAGTAGCTTCCTATAACGAAGTTCTTTGAGAAAGCATCGCTGATTCTTCACCATCTACTTCTAACTGTGGAATTTAATTTCTTTTTTTATAAATTTTTATTTTAGGCCCTAATAAGTTGTTCTTGTTTGCTTTGATGTGCATAGATTGATGTATGCATGTACATATTGTTTTCAGTAAGCTTCAAAACCTGAATTAGTTTTATGGGTATTGTAATATATGACAGAATCTATTAAATTATTTTTCTGTAGAATAATACAGGCATTCCCTGCTAACCCTATTTTGAGAAACAAATTGTGACAATTTTCACCACCTTGCTTTAAGTTGTTATGGATCGACTCTTAGACTCAAATCTAAATCGTAAAGTTGGTCATCATAATGAACTTATCATGAAAGATTCGTCCAAGAGTTGTTATATCAATAACTATGACAAACAATACCTGGTTTATTTTTGTTAATTATAAATTATTTTACTGTATTTTTTAGTCAGTATTTACTATTTTTCTTATGTAGAAAAACAATACTAATCATAATATTATCTTGTTTTGTTCTATTCTGGCAAAATTAATTATTAATTAAAAGTTAATTGGGCAAAAGATGTTTTCTATCTAAACTGAAAGTTATTGGGGCATAATATTTTACAAATTTTAATATTTTTAAATAATATGCAATGTTCAACGCATATTTGCAGCTAAATGTTGCTCAAAATTAAAACCAATTTCAGAAAGGCCACTTTCATTTTAAACTCAAGGTTAAAAGCTTATCTACTTTCTTTGAAATAATCTAACCAAGGAGTAAGATTATTTTTCTTTCAAACCCTTAAAAGCTTGATTAATTTATGAAATGTTTTCTCTCTCTCTCTCTCTCTCTCTCTCTCTCTCTCTCTCTCTCTCTCTCTCTCTCTCTCTCTCTTTCTCCAGATAATTGTAAAGGTAATCCATTGAATTTGGAATGTTTTGATTATTTAACAATTCAAAACATCAACAATACACGGGCAAAAAGAGAATTCCAGCTGGCAGATAGGCACATTATTGAATCTTATGGTTGAAACAATGGATTTTCAAGGGAAATTGGGCTTATGCCTGATTTTTAATATAGAATTGTATAGAGCACTTAAACCATGTAGCTCAACTGTAAGGATGATTGTAAAGTTTACCTTTTAAAATTTATTTTGTCCCCCTTTTTCAGGAGCACAGATTGCTCAATTGAATAAAATAATAATGAATAATTATAAAAGTTTAAACGAATAAATCCCAATTTTATTAAACGAATATTACTAACAACCATCCATGCATATAGTTTGCCTTTGACAAATGAAAATTCAAAGAATTGGAACTAGGCTGTGACTTAAACTACTTGCAGGCCAATTTGACTTCGGTCTTTTCCTATAAATCCAGTATTGGCCTAGTTTCTATTTTATGGCACTGAACATTTAAAGATTGACAAAATGTAATTCTGAAATATTGCCATTGATATTAGAATGCTACCATTTATTTAATCTGTAAGTTAACTAAGCAGTGATACTATTTTGATTTTTATTATTCAAGAGACGACTTAGTATCAAACAACCAGTTCAATTTTGTACTATTGAAACAATGTCCATTGTGTGCTTCCGAATGCTGAAATGTTACAAACCAATGTTGCAACACTACTTTCTTTGAAACATATAATGTAATGTGCTGACCTACTAAAATCAAATGGGCTCAATATTGTATTATTCAGAATAAAACAAAGTCATTTATTGGTTTGAAATGTTGAAATCAATGTTACAACATATTTTGTCCAAATTAACATTATATAGTTCTATTATTTACTAGAGATACTACTAGATTTTTATTGTTTTTAATGTGGTGAATGTGAAAATTTGTGTCTCCCAAATGCAGAAATATTGAAGCCAGGGCTAAAAACATTATTTTCTTTCAATGTTTTATAGCTGCACTATTTATTTTTGTTAGATACAGTCAGTGATGACACATTAATTGGCCTAATTTGATAGTATAGGTTGGAACATTGTTCTTTGTTTAGTTGTCCTTCAAACATTTATATCAAGAGATTTTTAATGGATCTGTTGGGTAATGAAACTGCAATTTAGTTGTCTTTACTTTGGTACGCCTATCTTCGCTGCTTTGGTCATTCAGACACATTTTGGCATGTCAACACCAATTGTGTAAAATGCCATACATCCAAAATCCTTATAAAGTCGTGTAACATGATAAATAAATGGGCAAAAAAAAGGAGAATCTGGCTAAATCGGTATAAATCTGTAAATATAAATTTTATATACAAAACATTGTAAACTGCTCACTATTGATGGAGCTATTTATTATACCACACAGCGAAGCTAAACATGTGTGCATAACCTTAGTTTCCAAGCTGAGACGTTAAGAAAACGGGGGTGGGGGAAAGGCAGAAATATGTTGAAGGTATAAACTACTGGTTCATAGGATGCGGCTCCAACCTTATTGTAAAAATAAAAATGTTATACAAACAAGTTCTAAACCCTATGAGGGCATGGTATCTACCTTGGCCTATCTTCGCTGAATTTGTCTGACAGATGCATTTCAGCATTTCACAACCTTCTGTTGAATTTAAGTGAAGTCGTGTCAATTTTATAACGTCTGACAAATGAGGGGAGTATGTTGACAATATATTTTTCAGCACCTTTGGTGGTGGTTGATTTAGTCTGAACCCACTGAAGATGGTGAAATGCCGAAGTGTCTGATTGGAGGGCAGACGAAGATAATCAGAAATAACCAAACTATAGCCTCATCATCCCACAGACTCCAGGAAATCTTATAATAAAACGAGGTAAGTTAAATTTATAATGTACTGATTGCATGGATTTTTTTTTCTTCAGAGATAAAAAAGTACTGACCTAGTGTGGAATACACAATCGCCACATTTTCAATCTGAAGGTTGAATGACTGTCCTAAGTTTGCTTCTAAATGCTTGATTTTTATTATATACAATTTAAATTGATTTATAATTTATATGTAAATTGTGGTTGAGATGAAAAATTATTGTCATGAGTGGCAGTCGAACCCACGACCTCCGCTCTATACCCAGTGCTATAACCACTTGATCTTGAGCTATCGTGACTTCTCCCCCCCCCCCCAGGACACCAACTCTCAACCTACAATATTTTCCCTCTTTTTGCCATTTTTCAAATGTCGTGTAATCAGGATTCGAGTCACAGTAACTTATGAAGTGGACACGGGGAGCTGTTAGTGAAACGATTAGTTCTTTAATTATAATATTAATCCATATATGTTTAGCGGTCATAATTGACCATATTAATAATTTTAATTAGTTATTCTTTATGATATAGCTGAAGGTCATGCGTTCGTATCTCGCTCGTGACATTAACTTTTTCATCTTAACGAAGACCTTAGATAAAAAGAATAATTAATCAATAATAATTAATATGGTCAATTATGACTGCTAAAGATATGAATTAGGGATAAACTTTAATAAGTTCTAGGTTGTGATGAGGTCTTGGTGTCCTTAGGGACTGAACTTACAAGACCTCAAGTGGTTGAATCACCAGGGTTAGAGCCAGCCAGAGGTTGTGGGTTCCAGTCCCGCTCGTGACATTAATTTTTCATCTCATCCATGATTTACAAACAAATCAATTTAAAGCACTGCTCCTGCCCTCGGGCTGAGTCAATACTGCCCTGATTTCTTCCTGGCCATCCCTCAGGCATTTGATAGGGTATGGCACCCAGGGCTTCTGTGGAAGCTCAAGGGCATCCTACCATCTACTCTACTCCCGATACTAAAATCATAACTTACAGACTGTCCATACTTCTCAAAACACTTGTGTATATGCGAACAACCTTGTGTGCATATTCATACAATATAATAACATTTTCAATAGTTTTGTTTGTTGTACATTTGAAGTACAGTTGAAAATAAAGAAATAAATTTTAAAAAAATTAAATCATTACTTTGGTTAAATAAGACCTAATAAAAAATCATGGATTAGTATTGTACATAATCACAAAGATTGACTTAGTGCGGAATAGAAAACTGCAACAATTTAGAACCTCTAGGTTGAAACAATGTTCTTTATTTGCTTGCAAATTTTTAAAAAACTGAAACAATGTTACAACACTTTCTTTTTAAATTCAAGTTGTATACCATTTGCTTCATTTTTTATTATATGTATTACACGTAATCAAGTGTTGACTAAGCGTAGATCAACTGGCATATCAAACCTTAAACTTGAAACAATGAATTTTTTTTTAACAAAAAAGTTTTATCATTCCAGATGACAGTTGAACAATAGAGTTCAGGCTTTTTTTATGAAATGTAATCATGATAAAAATAATCAACGTGCTGGATTGCACAAGAAATTTTTACATTTGTTCATTTTAGGCAAAGCGTGTCAGACCAATGCTTAAAGCAATGTACACATGTAAATTCAAAAAATATGTTTATGGTTTTTTTACGGGATACGAATCAGAATAGAGAGAAATGTGATAGATTTTTTTAGCGTAAAACATATCCCCTGTCTTTAATATTTAAAAATATGCTACGATTAAATTTTACTAGATTAATATTTAGTGGGGTCAAAATTAAAAAAAAGCTTAAGAAATTGTTGAAAATATTTAGCCCACTCAGTTGAATATTAATTAAATCAAATTAATTATGAAAGGTGTTATGATTTTAAAGAATACATGAGGTTTTGCAATGTTGTGCTGATGGGGAATGCAACTTATGAAATTAGAAAACCCCACTTATTGTACAAAGAATTGTATCCTTAACCGATTTTTTTTATGCCCATTATATTTTTAAACGACCCCAAAAGTTAAAAATAAAGGAATGGGCGTAAACGGGGGCTAAAATACGTTGTAAGGGACGGCCTTGCGTCGTTTCGGCCCTTCCGGGTCCCGAAAGGACCTCACCACGATGTGTAAGGGCCGGTGTTATCATAGGATCGGCCTACCTGATTCCTTTTAGGAGGAGGCTTTCGGAGAACCTGCCTTGTCTGACGGACGAAGTAACCTAAAACGGGGGCGAGAACGTGTTACGAGAATGAACGAACTTCAGGTTCGCAGAACGTCGGATCATTCACTGGCTCTCTGTCTCTAGGGCACGGATCGTAGGTGGGACTCGGCAGGCTGGCCAACACGTACAAAAGTTCATTTCCCTTTCCTCTAATCGGTTTAGATAAAATTTAAGCATAATCGACAATTATTAAAAAATAATAATAAACGCACTAATTAAAATAATATATGCTCGCTATTTTATCAATATAATCCATCATCGATTCTGTCGGAGGGGCCATCGCAAAAATTGAGTTCATCGGCATCAATAAAATTTATTTCCTTTTGCGCAAAATATTTTTATTTAAAAAAATTCAGGAACAACTACTCAAGGGAAACGAAGTATGTGAAATTAACTAATTAAACTAATGGACCAAAGCTTATCGAAAACAACCCAAAAATTCTGTGCATGAAATTAACTAATTAAATTAATGGACCAAAGCTTATCGAAAACAACCCAAAAATTCTGTGCATGAAAAGAACAGTGAAAACAACCCAAACTCATTCTGACTCCAAAAATAATCGAATTGGATGGGTAAACATTTCGGGCATTTAGCAATAATAAATAAAATCAGACACCACTTTGTAACATCCTATAAAATCTCAACAGACTAAAAAGGGGAAGAAGAAATCAGGAGACGATCAAATACAATATGTAATATAGTGCGAGCCCAAATTTTGAGCCGTACTTGGGAAGACATCTCAGTCTATCAAGTTGAAATATTGTGGCTTGTGCCATAGAAAATCTTAAAAAAGTGGTTAGGAAAAAATATCCTCATAAGATCAGACAGTTAAGCAGCCATAAAAACACTAGTACGTAACCAGGTCACATCTAAAAAGTCAGTGAATGCTTCTAATATAGCTAATAAATGGGAAAACACAACCTGACAATATTTCGGATTGCCAGGACACAAAGGAGTTTCGCTAATGATAAAGTATACAAATTAGACAAATAAGGATCTGTAAGACTTGTAGGCATACCACCTATACTTGAGATTACGAGAATAAATACTTAATTGTAAGAATTGTAGCAATGACAGTCAATGACTTTTTACTTCTTAAGAGGAGTCAATTGAAATGAACAAAGGAACTAGGAAAAGTACAATAGTGCTATGGGGATACAGAACCCCGTTTTCTAGTATTCCCTTACCTCGTTATCATCTTTAGCTCAAAAAATGCTTCTCTCTCTCACTCTCTCACTCTCTCTCTCTCTCTCTCTCTCTCTCTTTCTTTTTCTCTCATTATTTCATTCATCCAGTTTTTCTCCGAGGGTGCAGAATTCTTTAAACAAAAGTAATTGTTAAGGATGGGAAAAGGCGGTTCTTTCGTTAAGGGACTATTCCTTGACGCCTAAAAATAACAACAATTTTGACCTTATTGTCAATTATAAAGAAAATATTAGTATTTGAATTAATTTTTTTACGCTATTGCGATATCGAAAAGACAAAAAATCCTTTATTAATTAACATCTATTCTGCCGGAGGGACCTCAATTAAAAGTTCATGGAGATAAAATATTTTTTACCGAAAAAAAAGAAAAAAGTAAATTACACAAATTATTTTAATTTGACCAGCATTGTCATTTCACATTAAAAATACTGATTAATGATAAGAACAAATTTAAAACAATCTTTAGTCAGAGCTATGTGTTCATGTCAAACTGCGAATGAAAATTTTGCCTACAACTTAGCAATTCCGACCATTTTCTTTTTTTTTTAATGTGTTTCTAAATTATGCCTAAATATTCACTAATTCTGTGCTAAGCTATAAAATAAAATATATTCCAATTCCAATATTCCAACTAAAAACTTCTTAACACCTTTTTAATTTCATCCAAATGAAAGGTTATGAAAACCGTTGGAAAGCTTGGTTGTTCCTCATTCATCTTATACAACAAAGTATAGAATTATTGTAACTATAAGTGACAAAGGTAAGGAAAAATTCAAGAAAAACATCTCAATTTTTTTATTTCAGGCTCTTATTTATGTGTGCTGATTAGTGACCGTTAATCGATAATTATTCAGAAATCGTGAGATGCGGTCTGGTGTGATGTAGGTTTCAGAAAAACATTTTCTTTATCGTGCCAACGTTTCGATCTTTATTTAGATCATCTTCAGGGCTCAGTGTTTGTCTTCTGTGTAATTATGCCATTCTTGCGTGTCGTGTTGAGAGTGCCACGTTTGAGTATTTGAAAGGCGACAATTTTAAACATTTTTTGATTTCGCAAAAACTTTTTATTCGGAGATTTTTTATTTTTTGAAGGCGAAAAAAACGAATATTAACTTTGTTTCTGCCTAAAAAAATTTTGCTCGGAAACTGTCGAATTGTAGTACAACTACCCGGAGCATGGGCATCGTAGAATACAATTTGCGATAGAATGACAAATCAAATCAAGATGAAATGTGTGCGTGCGCGTGGTTTTTTATTTTTTTGAAGATGTAAACGTTTTTAATATCGGTTCAACGAAGAGAAATGGGGTTTTCCAGCGGGTATACTATGGTCATTCAGGGAAATCCAGAGGAGTTATGAATTTTAATTTTTAAGAGGAGCACTGGACATCGGAAAAAGGGGCTTTAAAGGGTCTTTAAGACGAGTTCTAATTGTTATTTCAAAAACAATTTTTTGGCTTACTTAATAAAAATGTCTTTTCGTTTATGCAACTTTTGATAGAACTAATCACATTTAAAACAATCTTGCTTCTTAAAATTTTATCCTTAATCTTATTATTTTTTTAATTTATCCTACTTAATTAAACAACAAAGAAAATTTATTTATATTTAAAAATTTTAAATACTTGCACGAAAAAGATAAAGAAACAATAATTTAAAAAAATCGATTAAATTATATTAATTTTTTTTGCTTCCTAGGCGCGTTGGCAAGTGTCTAATATTTTTCGAACTAGTATCAACAAAATGGTTTCATTAAAATCGCGATTACAGTGCTGTATGGGATTCAGTTCAATCCAGGGTCATTGTAATGCAGCTAACGAACATCTGACTGTATCCTTTTTAAAAAAGAATAATAATTAAGAATAATGTGAGTAGGAACCATCTTTTTTAAAAAGGATTGAACTCCACACTCACCCAATCATTTATAATCTCCATCCTGACTGTATTTTCAGCAGAACTAATTGCAATAGGGCAAACTCTGGAATTGCAATTTTGATACATAGTAAAAGTGCATTATAACTGTTGGACAACAAAAGCAATAGGCTCTACTATAATAGCTCATGCCTTCAAATTTTGTCCCATTTAGAAGGTTGTAAACCAAGGTAAAATTGTCTACCTTGCGTGGATAACATGCCAAACAGGGATCGACGGAAATGAGAAGGTATACTTATTGGCTAAGAAAGCTATAATCGACAGGATAGTAACAGATGTGAGGATTCCCAAAAGTAATCTGATAGCTAGCCTTAAGCCGGGAACACACTTACCCGATGCTACCCGACGCAAATCCAAACTGCGATTTTCCATAGGGTTGCATTACTCCCGGGCACATCTGCCCGATGCCACGCAACGCTACCTTCCTTTACTCTCTGCGATCCCCACTTTCCAGATTTTTGTCGGGTCGCATCGAATACAGTCGAAGACAAAAGAAACGGAGGCTCATATTTTTATTCAAACTACGTGTATATTGTCGTTATATTAATTACAACATACTTATTTTAATATAGACCAAAGTAACCGAGATCAACAATTCATAGGTTTTTATCAAACTTATTTAATTAGGAGGATTAGGAAGAAAATTTATCAAAACACCGGAATACCATTTATTGATAGAATGAATTTAACTAACAATTTATTTCATGGTTTTGCTTATAAAATTACACCATTTTTGTCTAGTAGCGTCAGAACTAGACAGGGCACCCATATTTTTTGTAGTTTATTTCTAACTATGTATCTGTAATTTTGTCGTTATATTAATTACAACATTCTTATTTTACATTTTAATATAACCCAACATAAACGAGATTAAAAAATATACAAATTATTTAATTATGATGGTTAGGCAGAAAATTTATCAAAACACCGGAATAACTTTATTTAAAACAATTAAATAAAACTAACAATTTATTTCATGGTTTTTGTTCAGAATAATGCTTTAAGAAAAAAAGAGGCGTTGCGATTGTGATACTGATTTGTGACACACGGTGTGGACTGTACGTGGCGTGCGTTTGACGTCGGTTAGATGTGCACGCCCTGTCAAAACGTGGCAAGGCATCGGGTAGCCTCGCATGGCGTAGCATCGGGTGTGTTCCCGCTTTAGAAGGAATAAACAATGGTAGCAACAAATAAGAGCCAATGAAAAAGGGAAATTCCATATTAGATTAAGAGTGACAAAAGAGGGGATGGAGACATGGTTCTGTCAACAGTAGTAGGAAAAGTCTTCTGCCGTACTGTATGCAGATTGAGATCAGGACATTACATATGTAATTAATACCCGTACAAGCTGAACATAAAGCTCTCTCTCGCCAGAGCATATATAATTATGAACTGCCCTAAACATAGTAAGCATAGGAAAGACGTTCGAAAAAGTGACAATCTTGGTGAAAAGGCCAGATGCTAAGCCTATATATACACATTTATAAAAGAGACAAAGCAGGAACACACCCGATGCAACGTCATGCGACACTACCCGATGCAAATCCAAAGCCCATTTGTCCATAAGATTGTATAACCCCTGTACACATCAGCCCGATGCTACCCTACTCTACGCTCTGCGATCCCCACTGTCCAGATTTTCCTCGGGTCGCATCGCGTACAGTCGAAGACAAAAGAACCAGACACTCATACTTTTATTCAAACTACAAGTATTATTGCTGTTATATTAATTACAACATATTTATTTTAATATATACCAAATTAACCGAGATCAAAAATTCATTAGTTTTTATTTAAAAAAAAAAAAAAAAAAAAAAAAAAAAAAATGGTTTCGTAGAAAATTGATGAAAACACCGGAATAACATTTTTTTGATGTAATGAATTTAACTAACAATTTATTACACGGTTTTACTCATAAAACCTATATTTCAAACCTAAACACATGTAATTTTTGTCGC